CGTCTGTCTTTGGTGTTGAGATGTGTTTCTTGTATGCAGCAGAAGGAAGGGTTCTGTCTTCGTATCCATTCTGCTAGTCTGTGTCTTTTTATAGGTAAGTTGAGGCCATTGACATTGAGGGATATTAATGACCATTGATTGGTGATCCTTGTTTGCGCTTGATTTATTGTTAGTGAAGTTATTTTGTGTAGTTTCTCCTCCCTTTTTCTTTTAGTGTTTTGTAAAGTATGATTCTATATTGCCTGTGTCTTTGTGAATGTAGTTATCTTCCTTGGCTCTAGGTTTTCCTTCTAGCATTTTCTGTAGAGCTGGATTCATGGATACGTATTGTTTAAATCTGGCTTTGTCATGGAATATTTTGTTTTCTCCATCTATGGTAATTGAGAGCTTTGCTGGATATAGTAGTCTGGGCTGGCATCCTTGTTCCCTTAGCGTTTGTAGGACATCTGACCAGGATCTTCTGGCTTTCATCGTTTCCATTGAGAAGTCAGGTGTAATTCGGATAGGTCTGCCTTTATATGTTACTTGGCCTTTTTCTTTAGCTGCTCTTAATATTTTCTCTTTGCTCTGTAGGTTTGATGTTTTGATTATTATATGGCGAGGTGACTTCTTTTTCTGGTCGAGCCTATTTGGTGTTCTGTAAGATTCTTGTACTTTCATAGGCATATCTTTCTTTAGGTTAGGGACGTTTTCTTCTATGATTTTGTTGAATATGTTTTCTGTACCTTTAAGTTGAAGTTCTTCACCTTCTTCTATACCTATTATTCTCAGGTTTGGCTTCTTCACGGTGTCCCATATTTCCTGAATATTTTGTGTTAAGGATTTGTTGGTTTTGAGATTTTCTTTTGTTGACGATGCTATGTCCTCTAATGAGTCTTCAACTCCTGAGATTCTCTCTTCTATCTCTTGTATTCTATTGGTGATGCTTGCATCTGTAATTCCAGACCGTTTACCGAGCTTTTCTATTTCCAGCATCCCTTCATTCTGTGTTTTCTTTATCGTTTCTATTTCAGCTTTCAATCCTTCAACTGTTTGAGCTGTTTCCTTAATTTTCTTGGTTGTTTTTTCTTGGTGCTCTTTAGATTCTTTGAGAGATTTGTTTATTTCTTGAATTTTTTCCCCCATTTCATGGATTTTTTTGTTTGTTTTTTCTTCTATTTCTTTAAGGGATTTCCTCGTTTCTTCTTTGAGGCTCTCCATCATCTTCATGAAATAATTTTTAAGGTCTGTCTCCTCTTCTTCATCTATGTAGTGCTTTTCAGGTCTTGCTGGTGTTGGATCCCTGGATTCTGGTGGGGTCATGTTGGTGTTTCTATTGCTGAGTGATCTCTTATTCTGTCTTCTTCCCATCTCTTCTTCCAGTGGGTGCTGGTGGGGGCTTTCTGTCTCCACTGGTCTCCTTCCTTACTGCAGCTGAAGCTGAAGCTGGCCTCGCTGGGGTTGGGGTCTTGGAGGGGCTGATCTCTTTTCTGAAGCTGGGCTCGCTGGGTTGGGGTCTTGGAGGGGCTGATCTCTTTCCTGTGTGGGCGGCTCTTCTGAAGCTGGGCTCGCTGGGTTGGAGTCTTGGAGGGGCTGATCTCTTTCCTGTGTGGGCGGCTCTTCTGGAAGCCGGGAGCGGCCCCAAAGATGGAGGGGGATGGGTGATGGGCGGGTGGTCCCAGCCAGAGACCCAATCTCACCTGAAGCTGGGCTCGCTGGGTTGGGGTCTTGGAGGGGCTGATCTCTTTCCTGTGTGGGAGGCTCTTCTAGAAGCCGGGAGCGGCCCCGAAGATGGGGGGGATGGGTGATGGGCGGGTGGCCCCAGCCGGGGACCCAATCTCACCTGAAGCTGGGCTCGCTGGGTTGGGGTCTTGGAGGGGCCTGTGTGGGCGGTTCTTCTGGAAGCCGGGAGCGGCCCCGAAGATGGAGGGGGATGGGTGATGGGCGGGTGGTCCCAGCCAGAGACCCAATCTCACCTGAAGCTGGGCTCGCTGGGTTGGGGTCTTGGACGAAAATGTATTTTTTATACACAGTATATTCTGACCCCAGTTTTCCCTCCCTCACTCATCCTCTCCCAGATCTTCCCTACTATTCCCATTCATCCAACTCAACACCTTTTTTTCTCTGTCTTAGAAATCAAAACACACACACTCATACACACACTCAGAGGATTAAAAACAGAAAAAGCGTAAGAAACATGCACACACACAGACACAAGAACAAAACCTATAAGAAGGCATAATATACAAGCAAAAGACCAGTTACATCAAAATTGCCCAATCAAAGCAATATGAGATGAAAAGGATCTATAGAATATCATTACGTTCATTTTGTATTGATCATATACTGCTGGCAATGGAGCCTGCCCTTCAGTGTAGCATATACCAAATGAGACTCCAGTGAGGAAACCAAGTGTGGGGGTGTTGTTGTTTGGTTGGTTGGTTTTGTTGTTGTTTTATATGGTTGTCCACTGGAGCTAACTTCTTGGTTAAGGGTAGGAGTTCATATCCACTTGCCCCTGTGAGCCCCGGGATCCATTTTCACCAGATGGCATACCTCCTAAAGTTTCAATAATCTCCCAATATTGTGCCACCAGCCAACTAAGGACCACATTTTATGCACAGGTGCCCATTCAAACCATATTATTTGGGCCAGCAATTCATCACTTTTATGTTGACTCTTCTTCAGGTAGTGAACCTAAATTAGTTTGCCAAAGGATATGAAAATGTCCATTCTGGAATTGTCCCTTATTGTAACATACCTACCTCCTCCTTCCCTCACGAGCTTTTTTTTAATGTTAATTGCTGAGAGTTATTGGGAACAATAATATTTGAGAGTGAATTACATAGCTACTTAAGTATGAGTCTTTATGAAGACTAAGGTCTTCATTGAAGTGTGTACATTTACAGCTGGGTCGTGCTCTTGGTGTTACTCTGAAGAGTGAAGAACAGGTATAGTCGTGAATACCAAAACTTTGGTGAGGCTGTTTTTTGTGTAGCCACAAACCCGAGAAAAATAGGTATTTTATTGAAAAGGAAAAGATGTATTAGGAATCAGAAATGATTATTAAAGCAACATAAGGTATTTTTGTATTGTGTCACATGTGTGCTAAACATGAGATGAATGTAGATTATCTTCTACTTTATATAGAGTATATCATTCTACTTTATAAACACATCATTCACCCTCTCATATCCTTCCTATATTGTATATGCTGAGCAAAACAGAAAATGTTGAGGATGGGCTTTCCTTGGTAGGTAATTTTGTCTCATTTTGCTTGATTATACACTAATAGGTTGTTTAAAGATTTGAGAATTTTTTCAGGACTATTGTATTTTGTGTTTTCATAATTAGTAGAAACTACAGACAAGTAAATTCAGTAGTATGTAATTAAAATCCCTATGGGTCATCTATTAGGAATACTTACTTGCATGGTTCTTCTATTTCATGCTGAGCTGCCTTATGTACCTGTGGTCAGTTACTAAGTTATGTTGGTTTCTAGGTTATTGATGTAGTCACTTATTTTCTGAAATCCAAACTTGTGTTTGCTCATATGTCAGAGGCCTGGAACACAAAATCCATCAATCCCTGAGCTGGGGTCATAATCAGGCCGCAAAAGCCGAGGAATTCAAGCCACCCTGGAAAGCTTCACGACTCTCTCCCTTAGAAATTCTAAAAATACCTGTACCCTTTCCAGTTCCTCGGTGCTTCTCACCATAGAGGCAGCCACTCTCCTGGATTTTTCTGTGCCAATAAATGTCTTGAGTGAGGTTTCTTGGGCAGTGACATTTTTGCCAGAGTGAAGGCCACCTGTAACAACTTTCACCTTAGGTGGAGTAGAGCAGAAGTACAACACTTTCACTGGGGAAACATTCCCCTAACAAAGCAGAATTGTCACACTCCAGTCTAAAGACCTACAGTAAAAACAGTAGTGCCCAAGGCTTCTTGAGCATAATGCTTTGAATTAATGTATTCTTGGTTCAGACTCAGATTATGTAACTAGCTAAAGAAATTGGGTTATACTTTGATTTAACATCTAAAGTAGCATTGAGACACATGCAAAATTTATGTGCTTTTAGATGAAATATCATGAGAAGGAATATAGGATTATGGACAAGACTTTGTAGTCATGGGGAAATATTACATAGATGGTCTTTTTAAAAGCAGAAGAAATTTATCTTTCTAAAGTATCATTACCATAAAAAAAAAGATGGCCGTAGAAGTGAGGTTAAATGAGCTAAAATGGATGTGCCAGATAAAGAGAACTGCAGTAGAGAATGGATTCTGTCGTTCAGAGTTTCAGAAAGGGGGTAGGAAACCACCAAGGTCATTATGAAGTCAGCTGACCAAGTTGAGGCCAGGTGGCAGATTATAATGTCTTGTTAGTGTTCAACTTCTTGATTACTGTCTGGAGCTGTGATTATATAAAGGAATAGCTCATTGTTAGAAAATAAACATTGAAGTATTCAGATGATAAATACCATGATATAGATGGATTTAAAATAGCTTAAGGAAACCTTAGGGGATTGAGATGCAAAGCGTACCAGTACCAAGATTCCCAAAGATAAACCATGAGGCAGAATTACGTACACCTAAAACATAATCTGTATCCTTCTACTTCACACATGCACCAAATATTCAGACAATAAAGCACATCCTAAGATATTAGTAATCAGTGGCTGGCCAATAGTAGATCTTGACACCTGTCAAAGATATATAATTTATTATTTACTAATTGTATTATCAAAATTTATAATTATTTTCTTAATACTAAATTTCAAAAACTTGTGTCTTGCCAGGGGTGGTGGCTCATGCCTTTAATCCCAGCACAGGCAGGCAGAGGTAGGTGGAGCAAGTGCCAGTGCATCCAGGACTACACAGAGAAACCCTGTCTTGCCCTCCCCACCACCAAAAAACAAAACAAAACAAACAAAAAAAGATCTCAACAAGATTGGTTATTGTTTCCCAAATAAATACTTCCTGTTCTTTTTCATTTCTGTCACTTCCTTCCTGTCTTACAGAAGTCCAAAGCTTGTGAGAAAGCCCTCTCTGTGGGTCAGACAGTCATCACAAAGCATCGGAACACTCGGTACTACAGCTGTAGAGTGACAGATGTGACATCTCAAACCTTCTATGAGGTCATGTTTGATGATGGCTCCTTTAGCAGAGACACTTTTCCTGAGGATATTGTGGTAAGTGGGTTTTCTCTGAGTGCCTGATCCCTCCGAAATGTTTGTAACCAGTGATAATTTGACATTTGTTATTCTGTGTATTACACAAAGAGATTGGGTTTATTTTTCCAATTGTTTTGAGAAATTTTATGTAACCAAGAAACATAAGATGCACTCTTTGCCTTTTTTGTGTGCTGCTACAGAAACATACCCAAGACTAGGTAATTTATAAAGAACAGAAATTCATTTGAGTTGTGAAAAAGCAAGGCAGTCCAAGTTCTGACATTTGATCTGATGGGTACCTTCTTTCTGAACTCTCGCGTGGCATAGGGCAAGATGGCAATTTTCTCTGGAACTTACACAGGGCATGGGTCCCATTTACCAAACAACAGCCTTCATGGGCATACTCGCCTGTAAATCTTTTTCTGACTTTTGGGGAGATAGATAACTTTATAAAGCTCAGTCTGATCTAAAACTTACTGTGTAGCTCAGGCTGTTATCTAACTGGGAATGGTCTTCCTGCTCCACTCACTCTCACACATAATGACTGGGATTATAGTGTGAACCACTATTGCCTGGCCTGGTAATGTCCTGAAGTCCAGTTCAGCAGGTCAGAGAAACTGAAGAGATGTGGAGTCGGTGCTGCTGCGCATATACACATGCACACACGCACACAGGAGACTTATCTGAAGGGACAAGGCTTGATTCTTTTTCTCTCTCTCTCTTTGGTTTTCTCTGTAGATTTGGAGCCTGTCCTAGAACTAGCTCTTGTAGACCAGGCTGGCCTCGAACTCAGAGATCTGCCTGCCTCTGCCTCCTGAGTGCTGGGATTAAAGGTGTGCAACACCACTGCCCAGCTCTTTGTTTTTCTCTTCTGATTATTTTTCTCTTATCCCTTTTATACCACCTAAGACAACAATTTCTATACAAGAAAATATTACCTCACAACTACAAGTCACATATTTTCCAAAAACAAATTAAAATCTTTACACAAGAGGAAATCACATTATGATCATGTTACATGTTTCCCTTAGAAGCTCATACATAGTTAAACATTTGTATTAATTTTCCCACTATAAAATCTTTACCTACAAGTAATGAGTCTTTTTTTATTGATAAACAAATTTTAAGTAAGCCAAGTAAGTATATTTCATCAGCCAGTTCCTTGTGTACTGGCAGGTAACTGTGGTTTCAGTGTAAGAAATTCCTAGCCTATTTCTACCATACAAAACCTTAAACGAGTGGTCTAGCTCTAACCATCTACTTTTCTGTTCCTTTACACACAATAAGGTCATTTCCTTTCCTGTTACAACTTTATTTTTTTTCAAGGTGCATATTGAAACCCATGATTAATTCTGTAAATTACATGACCAAGAAACTCAGGTATAACCTTGGATGTAGGGACATAATTGCTTTTTTTTTTTTTTTTATCAACTGCCTGTTTTCCCCCAGGCAGAGTTCATGGGTTGGTAATACATGAAGCTTCCTTGTTTACATTTCCTACCTTCAGCAAATCTCACATCTAGCAAAGACAGGAGTAACTTCTTATCTTATTTCTGGATTTTTGTGTCTCTCGTTGGAGCAGTTGACAGAATTTACAACATTTCCCTAATCATCTTCACTGTCTTAATCACCTGTGTCTTTTAGGTTGACTCCGAAAGTTCAATTAAATCTTTCATCCAAGTAAGCATCATTGATGTTATAAAAATTATCTTGATTATGAACTGCAAGTAAATTACCCATTAAGGACTGTAATTTACTCAAGAAACAATCACAATATGCTAGATAGAGTGTGATTCAAAAAAAAGATTTATGTTTGTATTTTATGTATATAGGTGTTTTGTCTGTGTGTACATCTGCACACCAGAAAACAGTATTAGATCCCGTGGGACTACAGTTATAGATGGCTGTGAGTCACCATGTGGTTGCTGGGAATTGAACTCAGGTCCTCTGGAAGAGCAGCCAGTGCTCTGAACTGCTGAGCTATTCCTTCAGCCCCAGGGAGTCTTTCACATAGTAATCACAGCCTGCCGAGTACAGTAGGAACATGAGCATGTTAGCAGCAAGTAGGAGAAAGCACAGCAGAAGCACGGGAATCCTGAGACCTCCCCATCCCCACCTCAGCCTTTGCTTCTCCAGGGCGCACCCATTAGAACTTTGCTACTTGGTGGGTGGGTGGTATTCCATAGCTCTTTGCTGACTGTAGCTCTTACAACATGGCCACCAACAGTAATGTGTTTAACTTACTAGTTATTTCCCTTTGGAGCAACAAAAGTCACACAGGAAAAGGACTTATGGTATTTAGTCAGCTTGAACTCGCAAGCTCGTTCAGGGAAGCTGGTAAATGTGTACAGTTTAGTGACTATGGCTGTGTTTGGGATTCACATAAACGGGAGTCTTTACATGAAGATGATTGCCAGAGAAGAAGCTGGCAAATCTGACAGGCAGTACTTCTGTCATTCCTTCTCCTGGACTTCATTTTGGGGCTCAAGCCTTGCATGTACCGTTTCTGCTTCTGATTCTCTGTGGACATGTTACTTCAATTTGTATTTGGAAAGAAGCTTCTTAACTTTAATAATAATTATTATTATCACACATTTTTGTATGGTAATAAATTAAACATAACCTTGTGAGATCGCTCGTGAATATGTTCAGAATTCGGATCTCTATGGTGATGAAACACTGATTCAGTCAGCTTTGTTATGCTTACATCTCTGTATTGCTAACTGGGATGGGGAATGTGTCCCAGCAAGTAAAGGCATTTGCTGCCAAGCCCAATGAACTAAGTTCTGACCAGTGTGATGGAAGGAACTAACCCTAACCATAACCATAAACTAACCTAACCTAAACCAACCTAACCCTAACCTAACCTAACCCTAACCTAACCTAATCTAACCCTAACTTAACCCTAACCTGACTCCACATTCACACCATGGCGTGCACTTGTTCCTCTGACCTCAGTGAGCTAACATACATGTGCGTGCCCTCGCACGCGCGCGCACACACACACACACAGAGTAAATAAATAACATGTAACTTAAAATATTTTTAAAAGAATGGCATGAATGGAAATAAAGTGTCCTTTTATCTCTGGCACCCCCTGGATCTTCTACGGTTTCTGCCACTAATTGCAGCTCTGCAGTTACTCGCCAACTTCTGGCAACTGCTGTGCCCAACTTTTACATCCTGACAGATGCCCGTGACACCAATGTGGTTTCCTAACTAAATCTCTATCTTTCTATCTTATTTTCTTTTTATTTATTAGATTTATTCATTTATTTCCCCTCCATGCTCTCCTCCCATTCTCTACCTCCATTTCCCCTATGCCACCCCCACTCCATCCACTTTCCGTGCCCCCTCCCCCCAATCCACTCCTCAGCCTCTGTTCAGAAAGGAGCAGGCCTCCCGTGGTGTCAACAAAGCATGGCATATCAAGTTAAAGTAGGAGCATGTACCTCCTCCTGTATTTACACAGGGCAAGGCAACCCCGCATGAAGAACAAGTTCCCAAAAGCCAGCCAGGGTGTCAGGAACAGGCCCTGCTCCCACTGCTAGGAGTCCCACAAGAAGACTGAACAACACAACTGTCACACATACGTAGAGGACCTAGGCTGGTCCCATGCAGGCTCCCTAGCTGTTGGTCCTGAGTCTCCGAATTCCTATGGACCCAAGTCAGTTGTTTCTGTGGGTTCCTTAGTGATGACCCTGACCCCCCTGGCTTGTACAATCCTTCCTTTCTCTCAACCAAGCTTAGCTGTGGATCTCTGCATCAGTCACTGGATGAAGGCTTCCCCAATAACAGTTGAGGTAGTCACCACTCTAATCACAGGAAATGATTCAGGCCATCTACCTACCGTTGCTAGGAGTCTCAGCTGGGGTCATCACTATAGATTTGTGGAACTCTCCCTTGCATCAGGTTTCTACCTGACTCCTAAATGCTCCCCACATCATGACTCTACCCTTCCATCCCCTTCCCAGGGAAATCACTGTGTGTGTTACCTAGCCTCCCTGAATCTGTGGATTGTAGCATGGGTATTCTTTACTTTACAACTAATATCTACTTTTGAATGAATACATACCATGTTTCTTTCCGTGCCTGGATTACCTCGTTTTTTTCTAGTTCCCTCCATTTGCCTTCAAATTTCCCGATGTCATTGTTTTTAACAGCTGAGTAATACTGGGGAGGCATTCATCAGATGAGTTGTCTTCAGATACACACCTCCTCACTAAATGAAATTTATCTTCGCTTTGGGTAGTTATATCAAGTTGCTTTGTTTGATAAACTTATTCCCAAGCAACATTTGAGGCTTACAGCTTCTGAACATTCTTGCCTGCCCCATAATCTTAGTCCTATCCCTAATAACTATTCTAGTAGATGTTCAGTCATATCTTAGTGTGACTTTAATCTATATTTGTGACTAGTGATTTGAGTGTTTTTTTCAAGTGCTTACTCTCCAATCATATATGTCTTCTTTGCTGAAAAGCTTATTAAAATTTACTGCTTGTGGGTGTTTACCCTTCTTTTCAGTTGATATATTCCTTCCCTCTAGTATCTTTTGTAAGCTTTCTTAGTAGCCAAAGCTTGCTTTAATTTGCTTTTAGCATGAAAAGTTTTTATTTTTTCCTTTTATCTCCAACAATGAAAATCTGGGCCTTTCATACTGCCAATCCTAACCTGACTATGAAGTGACCATTTCTTTTTAAGGTAGAACTTTTATTAATAATAAAAGGATATATATGGTATGTTTCAAGTCATAAACAACCAAATTTATTATGTGTGCTTTTCCTTTAAACCACACATTTTTAGGCATCACTAATAGGTTGACTTGTCAAATAGGCATTTCTATCAGATTGATAAACTCTCTAAGAGTCTTTATTTACTATTTGACTCCTTTTGGCTGAAGTTAGCTTTCAGAGTGAACACCCTGGGGAGTTACTCTCAATTTTCTTAGGAGTGAGTGACATGGAACAAAATACCAAAGAGAAAGTTTTAATACCGTTGGTGGGCCATTAGGAACATCTGTGGAAACAGTGACACGCACACCTAATGGGATGTACCAGCAGGAGCACTCGTTTTAGAACACACAGTTCTTTCGAGGCAGCTGAGGCAAGACATAGCCCATCTGCTCCACCTGGTGTGCTCTCCACCCCTTGCCTTTCCTCTGCTGTCTGAATCAGTCTTTTCTCTTCTTACTGACTTTGAGGTCCTTCGCTCTGGGTATTTTTCAAGACATAACTGGCATTCAGCTTCATTTGGGACAGAGGAGCTCCTTGGAGACTCAGTTTTGTTGTTAGTAAAATAGAGATAGTAATTTGTCTCTTCATATGGTCTCAGCATGAGTCGGAAGAGGTAGTCAATGTCATCCTACCGGCATCTGAGTGTCTATTGGCATTTGATAGAGATAGTTTATTTCTTTACTGGTGTGACTACTGGTAGATCAACCACACTCTAGGGCAACCTCCACACTCAACACAAATTTAGGCAACACAATTTTGATTCCATGGATGTAAAAGAAAGAAAGAGGTCTCTCTGTTGAATGAGTAGGAAGGTAGAGATGGATCCAGAAAGATTTGAGAATGTGGGTGAAAATGCTTTAAAAAAACACATTGCATGAAATTCTCAAAGAATGCCTAAAAATTACTTTAAAAATATGTCTACTTCAAAGAGTAATTATAAAGGTCAAATTGTATCTAGGCTAAGGCACCATGGTAATTGCAAAACGCTACCAAAATGTTAGATGTTATAAATCACTAGCCGGTCTCTTCCTCAGATAAAATACTATGAGCTTGTGCCTGGATAATTCTCTGTCGAATAGCAAACATAAAGTTCTGTGTGTTATTCTGCTTGCCTTATGAGGCTCCTTTGCAACTTTATGGTGTAAGCTAAATCTTTAAGTGCTCCCTTGCTTGGTACCCCATCCCTGAACAACCAAGCAAGATAATAATCCATAAAACATGGGGACAATTAATTATTCCTTTTAATTGTCAAGAGTTCATCATTTGCCAACTGTAAAATACTTTTCATTAATCTCACAGAGCAGAAACTGTTTGAAACTGGGCCCTCCTGCTGAGGGAGAAGTCATCCAAGTCAAATGGCCCGATGGTAAACTCTATGGGGCGAAGTATCTTGGATCAAATGTTGCCTACATGTATCAGGTGGGTACTGCTTTCTCTGTGATGCTCAGTGAGATTGTCAGGAGATACAAGGGAAAGAGTGTGCTGTGGATAAAAAAAAAATCTTTTATTTTATGAAGGAGAAAACTTGAATTTCTAACAGTCCAGGTTTCAACTTAGAATTTAGTTGCCTATTTGGAAAGCGTAGCATTTGGTATGGTTCAACTACTAGATAAATAGGTTGTGCTTCCATCATCAGAGTTATCTTAAGCCAGTACATGGAGCTTAGCATGTTATAACTCAGCAGTAGAGTGCTTACCTTATATGTGCAAAACCCTGTATTTTATGTCCATCAGTATAGTAATTTTAAAAATAAGTAAATTAAATAAAATAAGATGTAACATTCATTTACCACTATTACATATTACTTTATATTACTTTGTGTTAGCTCTGTGATGAGTGTCCAACTAGCACCCTGTGACTTGATTTGTGCACCCTTGGCACAGGTGTCCAAAGGAGCTTACAGTTGTTGTCTGCTCAATTGTAAAAACATAGTGTGGACTGGGGGCTTACAGGTTAAGAGCACTGGTTATTCTTCCAGAGGTCCAGAGGTACTGAATTCAATTCCCAGCAACCACTTGGTGGCTCACAACCATCTAATGAGATCTGGTGCCCTCTTCTATCATGCAGACATATATGCTGCCAGAACACTGTATACATAATAAATAAATCTTTTTTTAAAAAATGGTAGTTTAGGAAAAAACTGAAATTATTTTGTCCCTACCAAAAATAAAGATGAGTTAAACTCACAACTTGGGTAGCACATGTGCATTCAGATTCCTTAGAGAACTTTAAAACTGAACATTATTTTTAGAAGCAACAGATTTTGATAATACCATGTCACAGATCAACATTCTATTCTAAATGGTAATATAAAAACTTGGAAAAAATCATAAAAGATTCAAACCTGGAAAAACAGCTTAAGATTAGTAAGACACCAGTTTGAGTAAAGAAGAAAATTAACAGCAAGATAAGAGATACCATAATAGAGGGAGCCATTATAGGTTTAAAGAGAAATCTGGCACTAGGGAAATATCCAGAGATCTACAAGAGTGACCCTATCCAATAATCTAAGCAATAGTGGAGAGGCTACCTTAAATGCCCTTCCCCTATAATGAGAATGATGACTACCTTAAATGCCACCCTAGAACCTTCATCCAGTAGCTGATGGAAGCAGAAGCAGAGATCTACAGCTAAACACTGCGCCAAACTTCTGGAGAGGGAGGAGTGATGAGCAAAGGGGTCAAGACCATTCTGGGGAAACCCATAGAAACAACTGACCTGAGCAAGTAGGAGCTCAGGGATGCCAGTTTGACAGCTGGGGAACCAGTATAGGACCGAACCAGGCCCCCTGATCGTGGATGTCAGTTGGGAGTTCTGGGCAATCTATGGGGCTTCTGACAGTGGAACAGTACTTATCCTTAGTGCGTGAATGGGCTTTGGCATCCCATTCCCCACGGAGGGGTCCTCTCTCAGTCTAGATACAGGGAAGAGGGCCTTAGTCCTGCCCTAAATGATGTGACAGACTTTGACACCCCCCCCATGGGAGGCCTCACCTTCCCTGGGAAGTAGGACTGGTGGAGGGGGTGAGGAGGTATGGAAGGACTGGAGGGAGAGGGAACTGAGATTGATATGATGTAAAATAAGATTGTTTTTAATTTAAATAAAAAAAGAAGAAAGTTAACTGATAAGGGGCAAGGTTTCAATAGAGGAGTACAGTGCCAATACAGAGTACCAGGAACTAAGCACAGTGTAATTAAAAGGTGCTCAAAGAAGTTTAGAAACCATGGAAGGATTTTTTTTCCATGATCTAGGAGTTGGTGTCCTGGCTAGTTTTTGTAAAGTTGACAATAGCTAGACTTGTCTGGGAAGAGGATCCTCTATTGAGACAGTGCTTCCACAAAAATGACCTATAAGCAAGGCTATGGCACATTTTCTTAATGATTGATGTGAGGGCCCAGCGCATCGTGGGTGTGCTGATCCTGGACAGATAGTCCTGAGTTGTATAAGAAACAGACTGAGGAACCAGTATATAGTGATACTCCAATACTCCAGAGTCTCTGTTTCAGTTCCTGCCTCAAGGTTCCTGACCTGACTTCCCTGTGGTGTGGAAGTGAAATGAAACCTCCTTCCCAAGTTGTTTTGTATACTGTGTTTTCATCTTAGCAAAGAAACCTAAAGCTAGCAAGTGGAGGACTTGTGCAGAAAATTGTCATTTTCAATTCTTCTACAAATGTATTTTTAGGATTATATGTGATGGTATAAATGTATCAGGTTGTTCACAATTAAGCAAACCCCGCAAGTGGGCTGGATACTACAGGAGATTCCTAGAGAAAAGCATTAATATTTCATCAAAACAAAATGTCACATTTAATAAGAGGAAGGATGAAGCTATTTAGCAAAGCTGATTGCTACATAAAAGTATCACATTTAAAATTCAGAAATCTCTTTGTTTGCCCAACAACATAAAACTATGGACATGCACGCACACACACACACACACACTTGTTGAAAGCTAAAGCTCTTATTAAAAGTACCTCTTTAAGTTCAAGAAGTATAAAGTTCCTCATTAAACCACGTGGCCTTCTGAGATCACTTTGTGCTTTCTCTCTTTCACCTTTACCACTGAATAATGTCCATTAAGATGTATACAAACAAATACTGGAACATAATGCAGAATATACTAAATCTGTATGTATTTGTGTATCTGTGAATGTATGTTTATATGTGTATATTTGTGTATGTATATGTGTGTGTATACTTACCTCTCTGTGGGTTTGTATGCCTCTAGATTTTTGTCTGTGGTGTGTGTGTGTATGTATATTTGTCTTTTGTGTGTTTCTGTGTGTGTATATATTTATGTCTGTATGTCTCTGTGTGTTTATGTCTGTGTACATATATATATCTGTATATTTGTATACATTTGTGTCTGTGTCTCTTGTATGTATGTCTGTTTACATATATATTTGTGTATGTATGTGTCTGTGTTTATGTGTATGTACGTTTGTAGATGTATTTTGCCCCCCCATAATAGTCCTGTAAAGTAGATTTTATTGATTTCCAGTCTATTAATAAGGAGAGGTGAAGACTGGGGGAACAATTTTGCTTCTGAGGGAAAAACATATTCATTCATTTCATATTTTATATAGGGGTATACATCTGGTAAAAAGAAATCAGAAATTACTCTTGTCTCCATCCTAATAAGAGGAAACAGATGTCCAACTCTCAGTGAAGTTTTGCCTCTGGATACTTGAGACCTGGGCACATTAGGATAGTCAACTACACTATTCACATTGTTTTACAAAACTGTCTTTTTCACTTAGAATTTTCAAATTATTTAAGACAAAAGAAAGTAGTCACAAGTAGTAGTTATAGCTATGTTCTCAAATATGTAAATGAGAACATGCCTTTCTTAATTTAATCCTATCTAAGGTAACCATTTATAAAGGCCAGGAAATACCCTATTTTCCTTCTCAGCCTTTCATGCAGTAGCAGCAGAATTGTTTTGTGACCACAGCCTGATTCCACCCTGTTGTACAGCTTCAGTTACCTTAGTGGTACAGAGGTATAAATTTAACACTAAAAATGAAAACAAAAACATGTTTAATCTGTGCCTCCATCTCTGATGTGTTTATAGCATAGAACCACTGCATAATGTGATTCATCTTTTTACTTTGGAAGTCCCACTGTATTTTATTAAAAGTGAAAAATACAGAAAATCAGAAAAACTGGAGGTTCTAAATTCTAATCAAATGTCTACTTATCCCACCAAGATCATGTACATTTCTCTAAATCTCCTAAATTCTTAAAAAATAAAGTTACAGAATTATTTGCTGCCATTTCTATAACATAGCCATTTCTATAACATAAGAAAAGAGCTGTAAACATTTTTTCTTTTAAACGATACTATGTTGCTGGGCATTGGTGGCCCATGCCTTTAATCCCAGCACTCAGGAGGCAGAGGCAGGCGGATCTCTGTGAGTTTGAGGCCAGCCTGGTCTACAGAGCAAGTTCCAGGACAACTTCCAAAACAATATGGAGAAACCCTGTCTTGAAAAAACAAACAAACAAAAAAAGGATGCTGTGTTTTTGCATACTGGTGAGATTCACATGCTATCCAGTTGGCTGTGGAAACTGGCTGGTACGGATGCTGTTACTGATTCCCTCCCAATACCGTGGAATGACTATCCTGAAGTATATAGAAACTTAGTCACTGCCACTGCCTAGATGAGCAATCCCTAGAGAACACAAGAAGCCAGTAAACTTGGCCCAGTTCCCCCTGCAGATGCAAATATTCTCAGACAGACTGACTTTACAAGATAAAAAGTTAAATCAGCTGGGATTTGGGAAGAACACACTGACAAATTGTCTTAATACTTCTGTTTCAGAACCTTATTAGACATAAGTACATAGTTGTCTTTTATTTCATGGGATTGCTAAATCTTCAGGTTTTTTTTTCCTGTTAAATATAGTCATTTCTCCCAAATAGTAGAGAGGCTCTTAAGCTGAAGGGAACAAAAGCTCACCATGAAGATGTACGTGAAACAGAAAGAATGAAAGTAAGACAGACAGACAGAAAGAGAAAAGAACTAGTTGAGGATACATCTATTCTAGCAGATGCACAAAGGGCAACATTAAAATTAGCTACTATGACACCTCACAAGTTGACAACACGTCAAGATCAAAACCATAGATAATAGTTAGCTGAAATGCTAGAAAAAATTTCAGGGTCCCATTTGTTGGGTTTTTTAGACAGCTCTGGGTGTCCTGGAACTCACTTTGTAGACCAGGCTGCTCTTGAATGCACAGAGATCTGCTTGCCTCTGCCTCCCAAGTGCTGGGATTAAATGAAGCATGCACTACTGCCTCCACTACGCAGCTCTCATTATACCATTTTGTGAAAATATGCCAATACACTTTACTCTTAATTTTCCCCTATCCCTGACTTCACTTTGCTTTAAAATAATAATGTCCAGTTGCACCCATTCTCCTAGAAATGCTATAATATTATTTTCTTTATAGTGAATGAATTCCTCTGTGTTTACAACATTTTCTTTGTTTGCTGATATTTAGTGTGGTTCCATTTCCTCACTATTTTGAATAGTACACTAATAAACATAGATGTGCAAGTATCTATGTGGTATGTTAACTTAGTCTTTCAGAGATACATCCAGAAATGGAATATGTAGACCATATAGTAGTTCTGTTTTTAGTTCTGGAAGGAGCCCTTATATTGATTTCCACAGTGGCTGTACCAGTTTCAAGTTCTACCAACAGTTCATAAGCTTCTTCCTTTCCCATGTCCTCACCAGCATTTATTGTTCTTTGTTTGCTTGATAATAACCATTTTTACCAAAACAAGAATCTCAGAGCATTTTTAATTTCCTTGGCATCCTCAATATATTGAACAATTTTTCAAGTATTTATTGAGCACTTATATTTTTTCTGAGGATAGTGGATTCACTTTAGTAGCATATTTACTGACTAGATGATTTGGGGGTGCTTTTTGGTTGAGTTTGATTCTTATTTGTTGTTTAATTTTTGTAGTTCTTTGTAGACTATCACTGTTCTGGTGGTAATTTCTGTTCAAACAATATGGTACTGACAAAACACGGCCCATTTTAATACTGGATTTGCCCCTTCTCTGAGAAATCATCTGAGCAGCCCTCATTTTTCTTGTTTGGTTTTGGGGGGGGGGGGGAATAAAGATTTCATAGCTCATATCTGTCCTGTTCAACAGTCATGACTGTTCTCAACCAGCTTTGTTCTTAGTTGGATAAGAGAAATTGCTCTTCTAACTTCTCTGACTTTAGCAGGTTTTGTATTTGCTCTGTTATAGTCCTTTACACTTTTTTTTTTTGGCATAGTTAACTGGAACTCTTCAGATATGATTGCTACTCTTTTGGTTTTGCTACATATCACAATGTCTTATGTTTCTTTAGGTTGAATTTGAAGATGGATCCCAGATAGCCATGAAGAGGGAAGACATATACACTTTAGATGAAGAGTTACCCAAGAGGGTAAAGGCCCGTTTTGTAAGTGCTAATGACAGTGCTACTTACCAACCTCCACCCCCACCCCTACCCCAGTGAAGTCCTCATCCTTTCTGCTTTCCCAGTTCCAGAAGAAAACAACCTTGGGCTTTTTGGTAGTTTTGAAGAAAGCCAAACTAATTTTTCCTTTGTTGTAACCTGACCAATGCAAGTCTCAACTTGGATAGAAAGAAGAAAACTAGTGTGTACATTACTTTTCTTCTGATGAGATCAAAAGATAGCTTCTTATGTTAAAAATTTTTTGACACACGATAATGGTTATTAAATCTGTCCTTTATATAAAACTCTGGAGACAAATAGAAAACTAAGGTATTCATTCTTGCTAGTGGGAGCTACTTTAAAAGGAAGTATTGAGCAGTAGAAAATGTTGTCTTGTAACCGTATATATTGTTCTTTGGTTTGTGTTCTTGTTTTTGTTTTTCCAAGACAGGTTTTTCTCTGTGTAGTTTTGCAGCCTGTACTAGAACTAGCCCTTGTAGACCAGGCTGGTCTCGAACTCACAGAGATCCACCTGCCTCTGCCTCTTGAGTGCCAGGATTCAAGGTGTGTGTCACCGCTGCCACCACCCAGCCAACCTTATGTATTGTTGAAGTTCTTTGCCACACACTCGCTGATGTTTGTGTCTACAGTCTTACTTTCATAACACATAACAAAGCCAGAATATTAGTAGTGGGAATACTAACAGGTATAATACACACAAACATATATTTATTTTTTCGAGTCCAGTACATGTCTCTAAATAATTAAATATGTAGGTTTCATACTATTGTATTATTACGTATTTAGCAGAGCCTAAAATGAAGTGTATTTTGCTCATTTAGAATCTTATCTGTAACCTCTCTGAAATGATAAATTGCAAACAGAGAAGTTAATTTTCTTCATAAATTTATCTCTTATACATTCATTATGTCCTCTTACAGTAACAGACTTATGATAGATTATTTATATAGTTATTTTGGAAACCCAAAGGCTTCAAGTGGTAAATTGAATATTCAGTTCTTTTGTTGGGTGAGATCATAATGGCAGGGAACCTACAACAGGTGTGTACAATTCCCTCTCTGCTGCACATCCAGGAAAAGGACTTTTAAAAGTTAAGAGATAAGACAGTTTTGATACTGCTGTTTATCCAATAGGATATGAGATACTCAGGAGACCTGGACAAAGTTTGAGAACATTTTAATTAAAAAAAAAAAAAGAACAGATTAGCCACCAGATAATAACTGTGAGCAAAGAGAATATTAAATGCACCTACTGTAGATACAAATTTTCCAAAGCCTGGATAACTTTCAGTTTGTTGTTGTTGTCTAGCTTTTATTAGACCATAAAGATTTGGGTAGGATTAGAGTAGGAAACATTCTGAAAGTCTTTTGGTTTTCTGATGTATGTATAGCTGCTGTGCTCACTGCCAAATTGATTTCACATTCATGGTTCTTTTTTTTTTTTTTGGTTTTTCGAGACAGGGTTTCTCTGTGGCTTTGGAGGCTGTCCTGAAACTCACTCTGTAGACCAGGCTGGCCTCGAACTCACAGAGACCCGCCTGCCTCTGCCTCCCGAGTGCTGGGATTAAAGGCGTGCGCCACCAACGCCCGGCTCACATTCGTGGTTCTTAAAAATTCCCTTTTTCCTAGAGATAAACATAATCTGTTTATTCCATGGTTGATAGGGTCTTGATTCCATGATGCCTTCTTTGTTATTTTTATTTGAACAAGGCTCCTGGGTGTCATTTTGTGCTGTGTGTTCTCAATACTTCTCCCCGCCCCTGTGTTTTTGTTTTGTTTTGAAACAGATCCCATATGTAAGCCAGACTGACCTTTAACATAAGGTCAATGCTATCTTTGAATTCCTGGTTCTTCTCATGCTCCCTCCCATGTGCTAGGATTATTAACATGTGGCACATACCTGACTTCTGAGAACATTTTAACTTAAAACAAAAACCAATCAGGTAAAATGCACTGAATGCAGTCCAGTATTCCCTGCATCTGAGCCCAGTAGGAAAGAAATAACAGGGGCTATAGCCCTTTCTACTTTTGTTGTTTCTGGATCAAAGACTGCTACACCCTTCCGTCAGTAACCTGCCTTTCCCTCAGGTGGGTATCTAGTGCTCTGGTCATTAGGTTGTCTCCCAAGAACTGATAGAAGATACTTTATGGTTAGAGATTTTTTTTGTTGTTTTTTTTTTTTTGTTTGGTTGGTTTGGTTTGAGGAAGATTGATGAGCAGCCCTTATTATTGAGAGTTTACTTTTTAGTGAATTTGCCTCCCTCAAATTCTTCTGACTTGGGGAGAAATGTTTTAAGAGAGTCAGCTAAGTACCTAATGACAGTGTTGGGTTCTTTTATACTGTCTTCAGAAACAGCCCATTACCTTTTATTGTCTCATAGAGTAACCATAGTAACCATGGCATAATTAACTAGAGCTCCTGGTAAATTGACTTTGCCGTTCTGTTTAAGAGGCTGACTTTTGCTGTTCCTGCACAGTGGCACTACTTTCATAGATGTTTTATTTCCTCCTTTGAACATTAACACTTAGAAAAGTGAAATATAAATCAGAGGAAGTGCTTTCCAAGAGTTAACTGAAACAGTGTTTTCTCCCTCTGACAGACAAACCAACCAGTTCACAACTTGGAAATTTCCTTCCCAAGTGAAATATGGTACTTTCTCAGGAATCCAAAGGATAGCCAGGCACTCTGCATAATTGCCTCATGAGCAGAAAAATATACACAGCTGCCAACTGGAACCATTTCCAATTTCCAAGTTTCCTTGTGTCTGCTCCCTTGTTTTTTTCTTCTTGTTTTGTTTTTATTTTTTGTTGTTGTTTTTTTTTCCACGATGGATCATGAGTTTTCAACTCCTAAGAGTCTGTCTGTTTTGTTACCAACCTGAGATACGCTATATGCTGCTATCATTGTAAGTCATACACCTAATTTAAAGCAGTGGAGAACGTATTCTGCAAAACAGAAAGTTAGGAACTGAAATGGGTGTTTTAGGGTTGACACTAGCTTTGGTCTTTAACTGAGTATCTCAGCAATAGCCTGCCCTTCTCACTAAACACTCACTGAGCAGTAGCTGAGTTCCACACCTGTTACTTAGTGTTGATTTGTAGTTCTAATACTCTTTACCTTAAGGAACACCTGATGGGAAGAACATTGCCTATCCCTGCATTTATGTTCAGGGCTCACAGGAACCTCCAGCTTTCCTATGGAAGGCGAATTATCCCAGAGAGAAAACATGAGATGCAGTACCAGTGAAATGAGGCTCAGAATGTAAAATTTAATCTTCTCAGAGAAGGAAATAGAATTTGCTTGGTTGTAAATGTCTGGCCTTGGAAATGTACAGATCATCTTGAGAGCAGGTAAAAGGCGAAAAGATTATAGGCAGGTACATATAGCCCTCTGTAATCATTTAACTAGAATATTCTTAAAGAGCTTTTTTCCTAGTGATTTAATGGGAGACAGATTGGGACTGCTACATTTATTACAGTGGTCCAAAAAGAGAAATGGGGACCCTGCATGCGGGACAATGACTGCTTCGGATCTATGACCTCCTGTCAGGGTGTGGATCATAGGGAATCCACAGTACCATTCAGTTTTGACAGTTGACTGGAAAGATGAGCATGGTATTGGCATTTAGGAAATTAGGGCAATGATCGCAAGTCTTTGAGTTCTGTTTTATACAGGTTAATTTGGAGAGCATCTGAAGTAGACAGTTTGATGTGCCTACTGGGCAGGGTCCTTGCAGATTTTGATGCAAGGGATATAAGCCAGAGTGAGAAATGCAGTCATCATCTTTGGAGTAAGTGTAGGTATTGAAGTCAACACTGGACCAGAGGCCCCAGTTGAACAGATAGTTAAGACAGTGAAGCTCTGAAACATCAAAACGGAGCAAACAGGTAGCCAGTGGAGTAGTTAAGCAACAGAAAACTGCTGTAGGAATTAGAAACTAAGGGTTTAACCACATTAGCTTCAAGGAAGTAGGGAGAGGGCAAAGGGACAAAGAATAAATTCAGGCCCCGCCCAAGGTAGCAAGAAGGACTGAAGAGTACTGTGTGGAGTGTCCCTGTCCCCAGCAGTGCAGGCGGGGAGTCAGGCTTAGGTCTGGCGGTGAAAGCTGCTTGGATCTGTTCACTTGATGACACAGAGTCTTTCTCTTGTCCCACAGTGGAAGGTGCTGTGGAGAGGCAGCTGATGCCTGAAGCCAGGTGGTCCTGCACGCCTCTCTGAGGGAGGCGGGTGGCCCTGTGTTAGCATCCCCTTCAGATGTCTGTGGAGAACTTTAGTTAGATCCCAGGGGTGGTTCATTTTGACCTCAAGAGGTGAGAAGAAACACAGGGAGGGCCATCCTCTGAATTAAAAATTCGTTAAAGAAGCAAGTGGCTTGTTGCAGTGTGGGGAATGGTGTGATACTTTTGCTTAACTCTGGTTTCACAGATGTCCTATTAGAAGGTGATGTTCATTGCTAGTTCTAGCTGCTTTAATAAAGATTTTACTTATTTTTGAGCTAAAAAAAAATGTGTTGATCCCCCCCCCAGTCAAATGTTTGGGTGGAAGCCAAGTGAAGATGGACACTAGGAAACTGTTGACATAAGACCTGCAATTTCCATTCTAAAAGTAATGACAGATTACTTTGGAACTATCTTGCTTGGTCATTACTCAACTTCAGTATAACCAAAATTCCATATTATAACATGGAACCAAAAAAAGCAATAGACAAGTTTAAAATGCATTAATAAGTACATATAAGAGAGGTATGTAACAAGATGGGGGAAGCTTTGCTGTAGGCCCAAGATGCTACCTGATGACTTAGTTAGCTTTTGGGTTCATGGCATCTAGTGGTCTACTAAGTTAATAGATTCCCTAAGGTTTCTATCTGTGAGTCAGAAGATGTGGGCAGTATATGTCTGTTCTGAAAGGATAAAAGTAGTGATTAGCTTTTAGGGTCTGCAGCATTCCAATCTTTCCACAGTAATTACTCAAATTCTAATCAGTCAGTTCCTGGAGACCTAGCTTCTCTTAGGAGTTTTCATATACAGCAGACTCAACATGAGACTTTAATTTTGATTTTGTTTAGGGAAGTACCTTGAGGGTAGAAAAATTATGACTAAATGGAGCCACATATGTCTGCCACGTGGCCTGTAGTGAGAACTACCTGTTGAGGAAGAAGAAAAATCTATGAGTAGGTTTCTTCTACCCTGTGACAGATCCCAGCCTCTGTCCCTACCTCAGCTGACAGAACGAGATCTATGTCTAATGTTTCTGTACTCACTAATGTACCCTTCTCCATTTAGTCCACAGCCTCTGATATGCGATTCGAAGACACATTTTATGGGGCAGATGTAATCCAAGGGGAGAGAAAGAGGCAAAGAGTGCTGAGCTCCAGGCTCAAGAACGAGTATGTGGATGACCCTGTGTATCGTACTTTCCTGAAGAGTACTTTTCAGAAGAAGTGTCAGAAGAGACAGTAGTTGATACCTGCTGCAGCTCAGCCAGAAAGAGGGAAGGCACAGGGGAAGTCTTGGTGTGTGCACTGGGGCAGGTGGTGGGTTCTTCTCTGGCATTGGTAACTAACAGAGAAGGCTTCCAGAGTTTGGTTACCAAACAACCAGGAAGACATTGGTTCTGCAGTCTGATCACTCCCTCAGTCATTTATTTGACCCCAAAGAATATTCATTCCTAAGTGAAAGGAGATAGTAGTGAATGGCCCACTATATAGAACTCGTGCCAGAGAAGAGGGGTAACCTCTCTGTGGCTCAGGTCCCTCCTCAGGGAACATGGAGGCTCCTCTCCCCCAACTCCTTTTGGTGGAAGCCTCACCACCCAAAAGAAAGGGTGATAATTTATGTATTTTCCACAGTCAGGGAAAGAGTCTTACTCACATTTGTTTTAAGTGGCAGTTTTTATAAAACATTTTTAAAACACAAATGGTATGAATGGTAATGGAATTTACCTATGTGCTATCTGTATTCCCTTGTATAGGACTTTTCCATTTTTTTTATATTATTACTTTTGATTGTGTCTGAAAACTGAGTTGGCCTTTGTAGGAGGAAAATTTGTGCTCTTGAAGAGGAATTCATATGAAGTCTATGGGAATTTTATATATTTACAGAGGAAAAATCTGGGTATGATATTTTAAACACTTCACAATTCCTGTTCTGAACAGATATTTATAAAAATATATATTTCTTTCATTATGTGTTTGTAAAAATTAGGATTTAAATAAATATACTTAAAGCATAGTTTTGAACTAATATAATATGAATTTTCTTTGCAAGACAGCCTGGAAATGTACTAGTATTTAAAAATTAAAATCTGTTTTCTCCTGCCCTGTCTTCTGTCTTGGCTTATTTCTTCATGTTTAAACCAGTAGATAAATGAGCTTTGGGGCACTGGTGGCACTACATGCTCCTCATCTCAGCACTTGAGAGTCATCTGTCAGTTTCCTCTAGATTGAAGCCCCATCCCCCAGGATGGAGGGGGCTGCTCATGGAAATCCAAAGGTAAACAGAAAGGCACATGTCTGAAACCAGAAGCTGGGAATATTCTCAGAGGCCCCTTATCAGCTTCATAGGTAAAAAGCCTGTTGGCAAGGAAACATTGACCAACCAAGATTCAAAGGAGAGCATCTTAGGGTTATCTGCCTGTAATCTGTACAGAGAGCTCCAGGACTGCAGCTTTTATCATACAGCTGTTTTTGAGACATCCCTCTACCTGATAAGTATCTCCTCACTCACACTCCTTACAAACCTCAATAAAAACTCATTGGTTTGCATTAGTCTGTCATGAGTTTCCTTTCTGGGATAAATAGGTATGTATGATATCTGCATGTATGTATGTATATTGTGTGTATGTGTGTGTGTGTATACTATGGGGATGGGGATGGTGTGTGTGCCTGTTCCACCTTCCTGGGAACACAACAAGCTGAAGCAGGATGGTTTTGAGTTCAAGTCCAGTCTATGTTATGGAAAAAAGGTCCATCTCAAAAAAAATGCAAAATGGGTATTGTGGCAGTGGTTGTTCGAAGTGAAATAGTCTTCCTCAGAAGGATAAGATTTAAGTAAGCTCCCTGAACTCAGGTCACCAATAATGCTAAGGTATTCTCAATACACTAATTCTTGGTGGAAAGTGTTTGAGAATTCATTGTTTATTCAGTCATCTAAAATGTCACACATCCTTTTACCCAACAGCTTGTAGGGGCTTGTTTACCACTCAAACTGGCTTTGTTAAACCTGGGAGAGTGGGGTGTAAAATGAGGCAGGCTAAAGTCTCATGCAAAAACCAACTTTATTCAGAACATCAGACAGTTTATACTCTGAAGGTTAAGAAGTATCACCTGAATCACAAGGACAGGCAAGTTCTCAGCATAGGTAAGCAACTAGTATTGCTACCCAGATATGCTACAACAATGAGCAGCATGGCACAATAACCCTATTAGTGCATAAGTGTATATAACTTGGCAGTAACCAACAGCTCTAATTAGACTTGAGAAGCTCATTCCCAAGAGAGAAACCATGTGTGGTACTGGAAACATGGCCATCTACCAGTGGCTAGTGAAATCTTGTCTCTGGAGAACCTACAATCATTTTACTAAACCAGCATGACTTGCCTAAACATGAGTTGAACAAAGTTCAACTAACGAATGCTAACAAATGCTGAGAGCAGAAGTCTTCCCTAGGAAAGAATGTACTAGTGCTTATCTATACCAAATGGTCAGCTGTAAGAACATATACATACAAACAACATGATGGACTTAAATGAAATGTTTGGTTACATATACATAATTAGGAATTTACACATATTTTTTAAAAGGCCATAAATTTGAGAGTTGGGGGACATATGAGAGGGGGGATTGGAGGAATGAAAGGGTAGATAAGAAATTATGTATTATAATCCCCCCAATATAAAATTAACATTGTTTTAAAGGAACAGACATGTTTTCTAATAGCAACCATGTGCCAGAAGGCAACAAACATTTCCTGAAATAACCTTTCTTCAGAATGGAGACTATTGTATGCTATGACTACCAGTGGTTTTATTGCACAAAGTTTTCAGCTTCTTTATAAACACATGGTTTTATTATAGAAAACAATATTTTCTTACCATCATTCCTCAGAATGTAAATATCAAGTTAATATGTTATTGGATTGCATTGAGTTAGAAAGCTTGAGTTTTAAAGATTATCTTTTTATTTTTGCACGTGTGTGTGTGTGTGTGTGTGTGTGTGTGTGTGTGTGTGTGTGTGTGTGTGTGTGTGTGTACACTTAAGAGCAGGTGCTTGAGGAAGCCAGAAGAGAACTTGAGTTACAGATGGTTGTGAGCCACCCAATGTGAATGATGGGATCTGAACTCAGGTCTTCTGAAAAGAACAGCAAGTGGTTGTGACTACAGAACAGTTTCTCTCCACCACCAGGTAATCACAGAAGCTATGAGAGCGGTAGATGCGTTGTCAGAAAACAGCATTACCCAGCACTCTTGGCTAGTTTCTGCCTCCTTATGTCCTATGTTCCCTAAGTTATCACAGTCATTTGTTCTCAGCTTTGACTATTGACTACCCATATAAAATGCCTCCATCAGAACCTGTTATCCCTTTTTATAATTTGTAATAAACTTCTAACCAGTAGGTTTCCCAAAGGCTTTTTCATATGTCCTTCATTTTGGTTAACTAACTCGTTATCTTCTTTTTTCCATTCCTACTTAAACCATAGGTTCTATATGGATTTTCCATACATGTCTCCTTTTGGTTAACACTCTTCCTACTCCTTGAATATCTCCATACTCCCATCCAAGCTTAAGAATTTACATCCTCAGTATTACACTTCTCTAGTATCATCTACTATGCCTGCTCCTTTAGTGAACTCCATAGTAGGCCCCTTCTTGTTTCCTGGCTTCTATTTGTACTCCAAGTTAACACAAAACACAAGTCTTGGAAGTAGAATCTGCGTGTGGCAAAGAGCATGTGCTATGTGTCTTTGGGAGTCTGAATTTCCTCATTCAGTATAGCCATTTTCCAGTTCCATACATTTGCCTGAAATTTTCATTAATTTACCATATAATTAAATAATATGCCATTTATATATGTGACATTTTCCTTATGTATTCATCTCTTGATGAGCATCTAGGTTGATTCCATTCCCTATTGTGAACAAAGCAACAATGAAGATGAATATAGAAGAATCTCTGTAGGGATGTAATATCCTTTGGGTTTATGCCCAAAAGAGTCATATATATGGAGGGTCTAGTTCTAGTTTTTAGTGAAGCCTCTAGAATGATTTCCAAGGTGGTACATTTGTTTGCACTGCTACCAACAGAATGTAAGAGATGCCCTTTTCTCACATCCATGCCAGTATTTGCTTTCATTATCATAACATACATACATACATACATACATGCATACATACATGCTTTACTTTTGGGTTATAAAGATGGAAGATTACAGTTATGCATTACCTTAGATTTTAGGAAGGGGGTTGATTATATGGGAAATCCAAGTCAAATAAGGTG